ACTCAGTTTCTCTTACCTGTAAAATAGGGATAATACCCATTTACAGAATGTGCTTTGAGATCCATGGAGAGCTTACACTAGGTGGCAGGTAAAGCAGGTCAAAAGTTTGGGGTAGGGTTTTTTTTAGTTGTTTGGAGGGCCTGTGTGTGTCAAAAAATGTTTTTCACGTAGTAAAAAAATGGTTTCAATGGGAAGAAACAAGCTACTAATAAAAAAACCCCAAGAAACACACACAATTCACATCCCCAATCCACAGAGGAGGAAAAATCATGGAGGGCTCAAGGAATCCATTTTGAAGCACTTGGAAGAGAGGAAAGTGATCAGGAATAGTCAACATGGATTCACCATGGGCAAGTCATGCTTGACCAACCTGATTGCCTTCTATCATGAGGTAGCTGGCTCTGTGGACATGGGGAAGTCAGTGGATGTAATAGACCTTGACTTTAGCAAAGCTTTTGAAAGGGTCTCCCACATAATTCTTGTCAGAAAGTTAAGGAAGTATGAACTGGATAAATGGACTGTAAGGTGGATAGAAAGCTGGCTAGATCGTTGGGCTCAATAGCTCGATGTCAGGTTGGCGGTTGCTTTCAAGTGGTGTGCCCCAAGGATCAGTTCGAGGGCTGGTTTTGTTCAACAGCTGTATTAGTGACCTGGATGAGGGGATGGATTGAACCCTCAGCAAGTTTGCAGATGACACTAAGCTAGGGGGAGAGGTAGATATGTTGGAGAGTAGGGATAGGGTCCAGAGTGACCTAGACAAATTGGAGGATTGGGCCAAAAGAAATCTCAACAAGGACAAGTGAAAAGTCCTGCACTTGGGATGGAAGAATCCCAAGCACTGCTACAGGCTGAGGACTGACTGGCTAAGCAGTAGTTCAACAGAAAAGGACCTGGGGATTACAGTGGATGAGAAGCTGGATATGAGTCAACAGTGTAGCCAAGAAGGTTAATGGCACATTAATTTACATTAGGAGGAGCATTTCCAGCACATCTGGGGAAGTGATTATTCCCCTTTATTCGGCCCTGGTGAGGCTACACCTGGAGTATAGCATCCAGTTCTGGACCCCTCGCCCCCATTACAGAAAGGATGTGGATCATTGGAGAGGGTCCAGCAGAGGGCATAAAAAATGGTTATGGGGCTGGAGCACATGACCTATGAGGAGAGGCTGAGGGATTTGGGTTTGTTTAGTCTAAAGAAGAGGGGGGATTTGATAAATACCTTCAACAACCTGACAAGGGGTTCCAAAGAGGATGGAGAGAGGCTGTTCTCAGTAGTGAGGGATGGCTGAATGAGGAGCAATGGTCTCAAGTTGCAGGGGGGGAGGTCTAGATTGGATATTAGGAAAAACTATTTCACTGGGAGGATGGTGAAGCACTGGAATGGGTCACCTAAGGAGATGGCAGAATCTCCATCCCTAGAGGTTTTTAAGTCCGGGCTGGGATGATTTTGTTGTTGTTGGTCCTGCTTTGGGCCAGGCACTGGACTTGATGATCTCCTGAGGTCTCTTCCAGCCCTAGGATTCTTTGATTTTCCCCCCTATTGAATTTTGGATGGGAGAGGACAGGGAAAGAAGAATTACTCAGAGATTCAAAAAAGTTGCCTTTCAAATCTTCATACAAAATATTTCCCAGAAAGACAGGAGTAAAAAAGCAGAGCATTCATTTATTCAGGCATGTTTTGCAAACCTATGCCTGCCTTTGGCTCACTGGCTCTAGTGCTAAATATCATGCTAGGACTCGACTTAAGAAATATGCTCTCTGAATTGGCTGCATGGCGACAAATTGCAATGCCACGCACACGAGATGTGTCAGGCAGGAGGAAGTCTGTCCAAGCACACTGCTTTTTTTTTTTTAGAAATCAAGGATTTTTGGCCCATTTTTGACTATCAGTGTTCATGATTCTCATGCTGATCAGTTTCATGGGAAAAAGAAGGTTTAATGGAAGTTGATATGCAACAACTTACAGAGTTGAGGCCATGGAAAGAAGAGAGAGTTTTGCAGCTTGAAGGCCTGGTGGATAATGCCCAGTTTCCAATATTGTGTCTAGTGTATGCAATACTACCTGGTTAGATCATATCTCTCAACTAAGCAATAGCCTAGGCAAGGAATTTCACAGAATTTCTTACCCCTTTTAATGGTGTTGGGATTGAGAGGCAAGGAGAAATAGAATTTATCTGGCCCAATTCTTGGCCATTCTCTCCACACCGTGGTGAGCAGAGAGTGTTCTTACTAGAGGACTAAGAAAAAAGAAATCACAAACCAGGAAATTAAAAAAAAAAAAGTCAGCCTCACGCCTTAAACAGGTGATTAACAGAAACGTGGGAGGACGTCTTTGAAGACCAAAAGCCTCACTCCTGCCCAGCGTTCCAAAGGCTTTAATCAAATAATATAGTTCTTTGAAACTATCAATCTGGCTGTGGAAATAAAAAAAAAAAGGCCGGATGGAAAATAATCAGATGTTCATGTTAATGGTTAACCCTGAACTAATTGCTGCTACTTAATGCTGCTGTGATAAAGCGCAGGTATTTTATTCATGGCTGCTTAATGTACAAGGCATTAATTTTGTCCCAGGTAACAGATGACAACAGATAGATTGTTTGCATTGCAGTGGTCAGAGGGGCTATTTCTAAACTCCACTACAACCCCTCTTTTAAAGTCAGTGAAAGGTGCACCTGCCTTCTACCTCCTCCACACAGATAAGGAGAGCATAAATGCCAACTCTAGTGTTACCACATCTCACGTGGTTAAGGATTTAGGGGCAAGATTACGAAATTCCAGTTCCTGTTTAGGCACGTCAATGAAGTGGACAGATTCTTTATCAGAGCGCACTAGCGCACACTGAGAACAATGACTTTGCCCCATCTCCCTTCCCCTGTAATAGTCCGAGCAATTTTTGTACTCTCTCCCCACTGGGATCTCCCCAATCACCCCAAATGTCATAATGTGACAAACTCTTCTTAAAAAGTCTAACAGTCTAAGTTTATATGGGGGCCTGCTCTTGTTATTGTTCTGTCCAGCAGCTAGCATAGGGATGGGCAAAAATTTGTGAAGTGGCCCTGGGGCACCCCAGAAGGGGCGGGGCCTCAGATAGAAGGGGTGGGGGCAGGACACTTCCATGCTTGCCTGCCCACAGACCCTGTGGGTGGGGGAGCGCATGAAGTCTTTGCTCCCACCCCCCCTGAGAAAACCCCTGTTCTGAACAGCTGGCAGTTCCCTTTAGGTACCCACACTCTCCCTTGCTCAGGTCAGTCAGGGCCTGGGGGAGCACTCAAATCTGCCCTCGCCCTACAAGGGAGTGCTGTGCTTAGACTGTGCGGTCGAGTAAGTGCAGACCCTTTGCGGGGCAGGAAGAGACTTTGCACACTTCCCCCATCTCAGGCCAATCAGGGCTTGGGGGGGAGGGGAGCGTGCAATGTCTCCTCCTACCCTGCCCACATCCTGCAAGGAGCACACGGTGCTTCTGAGCACCGCAGTCAACTGCCAGGGTTGACTCAGCACGGTGCGCTCCCCAGTCCCTGGGCCCTGATTGGCCTGGGGGTAGGGGAGTGGTAGGACCTCTGCAAGCTGGATCAATCCACTTGGCAGGCCAGATCCAGCCCATGAAAGCCCTTTTGCCCACCCCGATCTAGCACAATCGTTTTCAAACTTTTTTCTCATGACCCCGTTGAAGAAAATGGTTGATGCTCTGACCCAACATAATTTGACTGGAGTGTGGCCTCCGGGGTGGGGCTAAGGAGGAGAGCTTTGGGGTGCAGGAGGGGGCTCTGGCTTTGGGAGGGTCAGGGCTGGGGCAGAAGGGGCTTACCTTGGGTGACTCCCAGTCAGCGGTGCAGCAGGGGCACTAAGGCAGCTTCCTGCCTCTCCTGGCACCACAGACCATGCTGCTCCCCAGATGCAGCCAGCAGCAGGTTCCCAGCCAATGGGAGTGCAGAGCTAGTATTCAGGGCAGCAGCAGTGCATGGAGCCCTGTGCTCTCCTCCCTCCCACCTAGGAGCCGGGCCTGTTGCCGGCCGCTTCTAGGGCACAGCACAGTCTGCGGCTCCAGGACAGGCAGGGAGTCACTGGTCACCTGATCCCCCTGCAGCTACGAGACCCAGCGCCCGA